GTATATTTATGTGTAATCTATATCTTACCATTTCCTTAGTCAATATATCGTTATTCTCTCTATACGGTGAGTTCAGTCTATTGGTCCCGATCTAGCCTATTACTCCTGTACGTGATACACCCCCCCAAGATCTCCACATTAGTCTATGCCCTTATGTAAATTTCGTGTCAAATGCTTGTTAAAAGTGAATTATCACTTGATTCTGCATTGGAATATTTACTAGATGGAAAAAAAATTGGGTGGCAATTTTTTCGAAACCCCTATCGGTCTGAAAATCGATAAAATCCAAGATGGCCGCCACGGAAGTGTTGAAATATACATTATGTCATATCTTTGCAACCAGTTACGATAAAAACACGAATGAGGTGTCTATTCATACATTTTAATGCATAGGGAATTCAATTCTGCCATCTATAGGTCCGAAAAGTGAAGTAGAAACAAGATGGCTGCCATATACGAGCAAAAATGTTACCAGACGAAGTAAAATATGTTTCTATCAGCATGTTGAATAGCTATGCGTGCACAATTATGTGGACTTGTGTATTTGAAATGCAGGAGAAAGGAAAGACACCACATTATTGTGATTCATTACATAATTAATTTGAATAGACAAACTCTTTATTTAGGTTATAGGAATACATCTATATGAGCATTGATCTTCATTCATCCTCATCCATGTCTATTACTACTAGTTCTGAGTTAGCTTGGTTCGTGCAGCTGAAGCCCACGCATCCGCATACTTCTGTGCATGGGATATTGTTATTCCGACAGCTACATCTTCCCGTGCATCCACGTTTGCATCCCCACTTTACCAAGTTCATCACTGCTGCGGGAGCTGGAGGATTTATACATCTCACTGGTGCGTAATGGCTCTCAGTCGCATCTAACTGCCACCCATAATCGACAGGAGACGGGAGGCGTGGATGGCTTTCTCCAGCTTTTCGCCAAATCATTGCTATGTAATGTGCCCGTTGAATATGGAGTGTCAACGAGCCAGCCGTTAGAGGAAGACTCTCTCCCTCAGCTGCGCGATTCGAATACAAGAACCAACGAAGCTCGTTGACTTTGGTATGTACTTTAGATCTGTATAGCAGGCAGACAAATCGTTCCAACTGATCGCTTACTTGCTGAGTTAGATCTTGGTGGCCTAAGGATCCCAAGGCATCAAGTATGTCGTCATCACACGTCATGAATGTTTTGAAGCACCACTCTTTCGTTCTCCCAGCAAACCGCCCAGACATGTCCGTTCCGGTTAGAGCATGGAATCCTATTATAGCAGACGCACGTAGTTGTCCTAACTTTTCATACACTGGTCTGATCGCAATGTTTCTTTTCATGTTTCCCTTCCCGGTAAGAAAGCTTATAGCACTAGGTAGGCTTGGATACATTTGGACCATCAGCAGTAAGACATCAGTGTCTTGAGATGCAATGACAACCTCTGCATGTTTGTCTATTGAAAGGGCATGCAGCAGGAGCAAGGTGTCCGCCTCTTCTTGACTGTGTGTGGCAAGGGTGCTCGGAACAGATATGTTGCCCTTAGTTTCCTTCCCTGATGTGACAAGGAATTTCTTCAATCGGTTCATTGTACTGTTGCTGTGATCTACACTCTTAGTAGCTAGGTAGGCTATAAGTTCTGCCTTGGTGTTTATATTTGAGAGGAAGTCATTCAGAGAAATATTCTGGATGAACGTATTGTCCTTGACGTGGTAGTATGTTGACTTTCCTTTCGTTCTCTTTCTTCTCAATTGCTCTTTGAGGGAGGTGTTGATGAACCTGTCGAATACTAATCTCACCTCATCGTAATTACCTGCCATGTTGCTTAGCTGGTCAATAAATGCTTGTGCAAAGTCGTTGCATGTCTTGATTTGGTCGGACTTTGGAATTGCGTTCACGAGAGCCATACTATCTATAATGATCACTTTATATGTTGATGCTGTGTCATCGCTTCCAGTTGGCATCTCTGTTGCTCCGTCTGGGATGTGTATCATATGTGATTCTTTCGCCTCTTGGTTTTCAAAGACAACAACCATCGCTGCTTCAACTGGTGAACCATCTTCTTGGGTGTCTTCGATCTGTGAGGCTGTGTCCACTTTCTGGTTCTCAGCAAGATCTTCTTGGGTCCATTCTAGCTGTGGTGACGTGTCCATATCTTGGACACATAAACTATTACAGGCATTAGTCGCAGGAGTTTGTTTGGATGATGTGTGTATGGTCAGCTCTTCGTTGTTGGCAAGGAGCTCAAGATGATGAAGGACTTTCGCTTTGTCATAAGCCAACAAGATTGATCCATCCGATGCAAATAGAGATCGTGGGACTACGCCAAATTCATATGTGCCAATGCATTCTTTTAAGTCGAGCTCTGGTTTGCTTCTTGAGATGACGATAAATCTTTGCAATAGTCCACGCTCTTCTTTGAGTTTCACCACCTTTCCGCCCTCTGTCACTTCCAACGCTGCATTTGCACTTTTGTATGTCCCGATCTTTCTTTTCTTTATTTTGGCCCACACCGAAAGGCGTCCCTCTGTCAGGCGTTCTGTGATGAATTCTTCGAACATGTGTTGTCTAATCTCATCACGTTCAATAATGTCTTTCGATACTTTCGCAGTCACAACTACCTTGGTGAGCATGTTGTAAAGTTTCCATTCATGAATTGTACCCATAGGTCTGGATATTTGTTCTCAGTTTTCTGCATCGTTGAAATGTACAGGGGGAGCGAAGGAGCATAGTTTTGATAATCACAAGCAAAGAAGTATTTCGTAAGAGACTCTATGCTCTCCATATGCAGTAGGAGATCTCGCTGCCTGGTGCTTCGTAAAAATTGGATGATGGTTTCAAAGTGCTTTATATAGTTTAGCCCGGAGTGTTGCATCTTGTTCGCCTTGCCTTCGAAATCAGCCAGTTTCTTCATGATATCTGTGGACTCAAAAATGATCATCGCCTCTGTGACAACATCATTTAGATCCTTCCGATTTACCACGCTTTGGCTGATGTCTCTGTAGTATGCCTCTCCAAGTTGATTTGACACTGATTGCAATTCTTCCGGTTCTGTTGTAAGGAAACCTTGAAAGTACAGATTGTACAGGGCAACCAGAGTGATCATGTGTGCCTCCAAGGACCGATACAAGTGTTTCCCGTTTAGGATTTGGGTTACTGTTGTCGGTGAATACAGTCCAGCTTCTACCCAGGTCTGGTCAATTCCACTCCCCTCCACATATTTCCCCAATGCAGCCAACGCACAGAAGACAACATGCAGCTCACCAGGCCGGAAAAGGAACTGCTTCCTTATGTCTTCTCTCTCTAACCACAGCTTCATGACCATATCATACAACTGCAAGTCAAGGATCATCACAGTGATCGACCCGCTTCCCATTACATGTGTTGTAATTTCGTGTGCTTTTATGAGACCAGTGTAGAAGACACGTGACCACTATTAAATCACTACCGGTTCATTACCCTGTTAGGTTAGAGGATGTGACGCGTATTGGCCGACCAATCGGAGTGCTCGCAGCTCGTGCACTAAAGCTGACGCGACGTTTTGTGGCTGCATTATTTAGGCTGGCTATCGTGTGTGTAAATGACATGCACATGGAGATGGGTGGATGGTTACTGGTAATATAAAACGAATTCTTTCAATGTATAGCCCCCATTCGACTGCGCGACTGTTTTTCCGGCACAAATGTGGTGTCGATTAGTAAATTCGCGATATTTTTTTAAAACGCCGGACAACATATGTCATAATTCTAATGGTGCACAGCTGAAGTACATGGCTACCTAGCTTTAATATTGCCACTCGGCCGAAAACGACCGAAATACTATTTTTCAGCTCCTGAAATTCAATTCTTAAGTATAGGATCCTATGGAGAATTTAATAGTGGTCTGTTCTCAGAAGGTGTCGTATCCTGTTGGAGGTAAGCGTATCAATGGTGGTACCAGTGCCACAATGGTCTTGTCGTTGGAAGAGGTCAACAAGGAATTGAAGGCTCCCTATGTCCCTGCAGCATTTGGTTTGACGTCAATTTGCTCTTCTTTGTTGAAGTTCAAGCATCCGATTAACCAGGCCATATCTGTCTTCTTGTTTAGGTCTCTCATAGGATTTTCTGTGATAAGCTTGCATTCACGCTTCTGACTCATGGGTTCTGGCTTTTTGCATGTCAGAGACTTGCAGAGAACGGTGTCCTCTAACGTTTGAGCTTTAGATGATCGGTCAATTTCGATTGGTGCTCATTTTTGCTCATATATGGCAGCCATCTTGTTTCTACTTCACTTTTCGAACCTATAGATGGCAGAATTGGATTCCCTATGCATTAAAATGTATGAATAAACACCTCATTCGTGTTTTTATCGTAACTGGTTGCAAAGATATGACATAATGTATATTTCAACACTTCCGTGGCGGCCATCTTGGATTTATCGGTTTTCAGACCGATAGGGGTTTCGAAAAAATGGCCACCCAAATTTTTTTTTATCTAGTACATACTCCAATGCAGAATCAAGTGATAATTCACTTTTAACAAGCATTTAACACGAAATTGTTTTTGACGACATAGGGACCTACACTATATACGTAGAGCAGCGATTAGAACAGGTGGGTTCGTGGAACGCCCCGAGGTTCTGGGGAAATTCTCACAGGACGCGCGTCGTCGAGCTATAGTTCGTAGAAGCACACAATTCCGACCCGGTCAAAACAGCAGTAGGGAGCCAGACAGGCTTACATTGAAGACTTAGACTGACGCACGGACGCTAGAGAGAGAGACATATATCAATAATTTGCGACGTATACTTGCTCGGCATCATGATCTACTGCGTAGAAATGACGGCAAGGCTCGCTGGCATGCTGTTACTGGCCGTTGCGTTAGCTGATTGTGGGTACGTATAGTTGTTAGAGACATCGGTTGTTAGAGACATCCTCTAGGGTGTGGCACGCTGTAGGTAACCTAGACATCAACTAATGCGTGTGTGTGCGCTTGTTTGTTTGTTTGTTTGTTTGTGTGTGTGTGTGTGTGTACCCACGCCTGCGTGATGTGATGTGTGTGTGTGTGGTGTGGCGTGTGTGCCATGTGTTGTTCGTGTGTGCGTGTAAGTGTGTGTGTCAGTGGTGTGTGTGGGTGGCCTGTATGTGTGTTGTCGTGCGTGTGTGCGTGCGTGTGTGTGTGTGTGAACTTAAAGAGACTCGCGAAATTCGCTCGTTACGCTGATGAGACTACGATGATTTCTCTAAATCCCGGTCCGATTCATAATAATCTTTTAGTAAAATATTGACTTGATACGAAGACAATAATACAAGGATCCTGTTACTAACATAAAATTTTCTGTCCCGGTATTTTCATTTTTATATAAAACACTTTGTACACACCTTCTAATCCATTGTTTTTCTCTCAAATTAAGGCTAATATAATATACGGAACCCGCTTAATACGATTATTTTTCTTTGGCCCGTCAGTTTCGTACTAACGGGGTGCAACTGTAGTAATGAATAGTAGTAATTGAATGAGGAGTTTAGGCTTTGCAGTAATTGTATCTATTTGTGAACAATTTAACGCTACTAAAGTTCTTAATTATACATATAAACCTATATAAAATACCTTGTATCCATAAAATCTTAAAACCTTGTAATCCTTAATTTGTGTATCCGTTAAATCCGTTATATCCGTGTATCCGTTAAATCCTTGTAATCCGTAATATATGTAATTTGTAATCTTTGTAATCCTTAATTTGTAATCTTAAAACCTTAAAATCCTTAATTGTAATCTTAAAACCTTAAAATCCATAAAACCTTGTATCCATAAAATACCTTGTAATCAATCATTTTTTCTTTGTTAATTCGGGGCTAATATATGTGACCCGTGATAGCCAAATGAGTCGGAAGTCGCACGGTAGCATTCTACTGTACAATCGATTTTTAAAAAAATAAATGAAATTTTTCTTAAATTTTCGTGAAATTTTGTTTTCAAAAAAATTATCTACAATGTTTGCTTTTAATCGGTATAAGCAAAAATGTCTTAATTCAATTAAAACCTGCTTAAATTGAATGATTTATAAGAAGTGTCGGCTAATAATATCAGTGAATGATATTAGTTTTCAGCCCTTATTTTAGACAATTGTCAGGAAATTTTAATCGCATGATATCTCGATTTATAATAGTCATAAAATATTCATTTTTCAACCAATTTTCAATATCTATATAACAATAGAAAGCTATGAATCTCAGGTATCTGAATATGTATTCAACCTAAAATGTCAAAACTGCCCCAAGTGACTCATTTCGCTATCACCGGTCACATATGTTGAAGTGGTTAATACGAAACCCGCTTAATACAATTATTTTTCTTTGGCCCGTCAGTTTTCTACTAACGGGGTTTGACTGTAGTAATTATGTAACAGTGCCCAGTTAATTTGTAGATTAGTAAAGTAATTGATTTCAAATATTCATGGTAAAATTATATATGTGACTAGCTAAGGAGGCAACACACAGGATGTCAATTCTACTGCGTAGACGCACACCCGGACCTGTGAAGGCAGAATTCGGAGAAGACCGGACGTGCGCAGTTGAATAGCATAGCGCCGAATACACGTGTGTCTACACGTGAGTGAGACGTGATTGCTAGATGTTTAACTCGGTCTTAGTAGTACAGCTTCTTAGCACATAAAGTGTTCACTTTTTGAAGAAAGTACCAAACTTTGCACATATGCTCTTTGACCTATTACAAACTTATTTAGGGGTGGACCCCAAAAAAATCGGACCTCTAAAGGGGCGTGTCACCCTTTCTTCAAAATGGCCGCCATATATGTATGTGTCAGTTAGGCAGTTACTGTGAATTACCACAATAAATGGCAATATTGGTATCAAATGAAAGCTCTTAATGTAGGTAGTTGAACTACAATCTTTAAATTTAATTTTCTTTTATTGAGCGACGTGAGGACGTCATAATAATGCCACGCCCCTTTATTATTATGGCATAACATGCGAGTATAGACGCGTTCCGTTTGATTAAACAGCGCAATATATATGGTAATAAAGGTATAAAATAATAGCGTAATAAATGTGAAAATGATATGCAAATACCATTTATTTATTAATCTCTGACTCACATTCAACAATAATGACGTCATAATACACACCCATATATAGATACTTATTTGATATGTTTTTATCATTGTTACATACTAGCGTGATATTGGTGTCAAATGAAGCTATTGTAAGTAGAGTTGAGGTTAAATTTACTTTATATATATATATATATATATGACGGGTCCCCTCCCTCTTAGTATTTTACCACAACCGCTTCACGAATGCTGCTGAATTTTAAGTACGATGGGCGACCATGATAGTCAGCACTACGGCTACGCGCGAGACATGGGGGTGGGGCAGAGCGGAACCGGAGCGATGTGAGTCTGCAATCTCAATTGGCGGCAATTAGAATCGTGTTTCTGCGATCGGAGTTCCGCATCGCGAACTGGTCGGGTATTACGTGTGTATATAAGATCGCTCTCGGCGCGATCGGCACACACTCGTCAAGATACGAAAGACGCAATAGCATGCGACAACAACGCATAATTGATATCTTCTGAAAAGATCGTTTCGTTTTCTATAAGGTGCACTCTTAATCGACTCAACATGCATCCACGAGCGACAGTTTGTGCTGTGCTTTGCTGCACACGGGCCGGCTATACCACTCGGACGTTTTATATAAAGGTTCACTGGGCATCGTATGTTTCTACTTTCTTTGCATATTTCGTTAGCAATTTCGGTTGAGAGAGCGTACGGTGCGTGCGGTAGTAAATAAATGAAATGTTCTCATCATTAATATATGATATATAAATTGATTTAAGCGCGAAATGAAACGCAGTTTGATTTTCAAGTCGGAGGGATTCTGTGTAGGAACTAACGGTGTTGGTGTACGGTATAAACACGCGGGTGAATTGACGAAAGGAGACGATATACGTAGCGAGTTGCAGGCCTGATGAGCGCGAAGCGATAGGCTTGCTCTGTTCGTTGTCGTTACGCTTCGTGCATGATGTACCAGTCGCACACAATGTGGCAGAATCAGCGTGAGTCGGCCGACAAGCTTGGTTTTCGAATACGTTCTAGCGTTATTCATTAACACGTATCAGACAGCGAGGAAGCAAGGTAGTATAAACGGCGGGAGAGATCCACCGAGACCAATCTGGCTTCGAAGTTTTGGTGGTAAATGGGTAGTCGAGATAGTCCGACTACATCTCCTGTAGCCCGACCAGGCTGTGGACGATTGTCTATTACAGGTCTTCAATCGAGCAAGGATCCGTTTTTGGAGCTACATCTTCTGATACTGTCATTATATACTGATAGTGATAATTCATTGGTTGTGATTGTATTCAGTGATTCACATAGTTGTGTTTGACAATTGACGCACGGATCTGTTGCGGCGCTGAGCGGGAATTAACCATTTCTTAGCAAATTTCATCTGAAGTTATTTCGTATCAAATAGATTCGATGCGTTTTTCGGAGACGACAAAAATTCGGCGCAATTTTGCCAGACTGTAAAAAACCTCGTCTCAATTCAGTTACGGCATCTCTCCGAGCTTGCAAATTCCGTGAGCGACTGGCGAACGGCGGGCGCTGAGGCACGTTAGCGCGCATCGCAGCGCAGAAGCAGTAGTTCAACAGCATCTCCGCGGATCCACGCAAGGCACGACAAGCGACGAATGAGGCGACGGCGATGATCATGTCACGCGGAACGACGAGCTCGGCGCGCCCACTGAGCGGACGCGGATGGCAACGCCGGGCCGATGCCGACGAAACCGCGGATTGCGAGATCAGCACGCCGAGGCCAGCAGCAGATGTCGTCCGCTGACGTGTCAGAGACGATGCTGCAGACGAACCTTATCTCGTCTGCGTCGTCGACAGCTTCCGGAACTGCGCGGGCGACGAGTGCTCGCCGAAGACGGAGGCTGCAGTAGCGAGCGGCGTTCTTCACCGAGGGCAGGTAGTCGGCAGCAGACGTCGAAGGTATCCGCGGCGACAAGATCTCGTGGCTAGGACGGGCACGGAGAAGCACGCGCCGCGACGTCGGCATCTTCTCGCAATGGCTAGAGCATCATGTTCAGGGTCGGCCGGCGGTGCTCACAGGTCAACGCACGCGCATCAGCGGCCGCGTCGAAGGTAATAATATTATTAGATTTAACATGTACTATGTATTAAGGGCTGGTGTAAAGAGAGCGGAATGTTATTCGAGGGTAGAGTGGTGAGGCACGGCAGCTCGAGTAATGAAGGTGTGTGTGAGAGGTAGTTATTCGAGGGGGGGAAGAGGCTGTGAGCCGTCAAACGGCAGCGCGAAGGTAATTGGGGGAGGATGTAAAGAGGAGTGGTATTCGAGAGTTAGAGCTGTGAGCGTAACGCAGCTCGAAGTAATAGAGGGTGTGAAGAGGTATGGTATTCGAGTGGTTAGGTGTGAGCGTCAACGGCAGCGTGAAGGTGAATGGGGGAGGGGTTGTAAAGAGGGTAGTGGATTCGGAGGTAGAGCTGTGAGGCGTCAACGCAGCTTAAAAGTAATGGGGGGGTGTAAAGAGGTAGTGGTATTTGAAGGGTAGAACGGCACGCGCATTATCGGCGCTCGAAAGGTAAGTCTAAGGCGGAGTATATGGGGGTAGTGGTATTCGAGGGGGCTGTAAAGGGATAATAATATTTGAGGGAAGCTTGAGATCAGCGTCGCTCAGAGGTTAATTAGAAGGGGCTGTAAAGGGGTGTGGAAGATAATTCGAAATGATTCGGCGTTGTTCCGCTATTTGACAGTTTCCTGGATGTGTGGTCTGCTCAAAGATATTTCCATCGCTTCTTCCTTGTCCCTCCGTGCTATATTAAGGGTGTTCTCTGTGACGTAAGTCTAATG